GTTGCGAGAAAGTCTAATAATTCCTGCTAGGAAAAATGTTGCTTAGATTTTGATAAAAATGATAATTAACATGTGACATTAGGCTTGTGCATACATTTGGATAGATTTGACTATTCTTTAGAAGCGGATTTATTCCAAAATCTTAGCTTTATGCTCCAACAACAGGTAAGTAAACGCATGCTCCATATTTATTTGTTGGTAAATAAATTAATTAGACTAATTTATCTGGTGTTTATAATGTAAGATTGCACCTCATTTAATTTACTATCAATATAGTGAAATGCAATTCAATGTTATAAACTCTGTATTGTTGTAATAAATTGGATAGCAATGGAACTGATTAAGTGGGCAATTAAATCTTTTAATTGACACTTAAACTGGACGGCATTGTGCCAGTATCGTTTTCATCCCTTCTGCAGGTCAGCAATTTATCTTCTGCCACACTACATCAGCTAATAATTAATTTTTAAAATACCCAGTGACCACTATGAAACTTGCCTTACTAATCAAAAATTGTTAGACCTAGCAAAGATGGATTTATTTTCTTAGGGCAATTTACATGCTACAGAGAACGAATAATTTTCTGGGTAAGTCAGCGTCCCAACGAAAAAGTGGTACCTAGGAATAAAACTCATTATGAACTTACGAAGGTAAATAAAGGAATGATGTTCCTATTCCATTAAACTAAACAGTCCAATCCACATATCTATAAAGCAAAAGACATGACGAAAGTGTGAATAGTCGCGTTGAAGCAAGTATCGAAAGTATAGGAATACGCACAGGGATATCGTTAAACAAAAGTGATTTTTTAGTGGCTCCTACGTTGGAGAGTCTGCATAGCATTCCGTAGAGTAAAAGCATACATCAGACGAAACTGTAGTCTGAGCTGCAGAAACTCACGACGACGCATGAATATGGAAAAGTTCAATGAGTGCCAAAAACGAAAAAAAAAATTCGGAAATGTATAACAAAAAATAAGGCGGACTGGGTGAAAGGTTGTTGTACGGCGAGAAAGAGGAAATCGAGTCGGGAAGGCGGGAAGTAGGTTAGGTACGTCGGTAGGTAGGTAGGTAGGCAGGGAGGCAGGTATGAGGGAGAGGGGGTAGTGCGAGT